TTGGCATTCTCATTATCTATGTAATAATGATTTTCCTTTTTTTTTAATATATAATCATGCATCGTTATGACCATGATTCTTATAAATTTACTTGATGTAATCTTATCAACTGTAATTTATTTGTATTTTTATTCTATCAATTAGTAGTATTTTATTGTAACATTGTATCAGTAATAAAAGATCTGATTTATTTGTATTAATTTACCATCAAATGACACTATTTATAAATATGCTAGACAAATATCGGGTAAAATAGAATTTTTAAAAGTTAAGGGACCTAACTATAACTCATTATAAGATAAGTGGTCAAAGTGTAAATTGATATATTATTATGCCTATCATGGCCTTCGAGCTCTATTTGGGATCAATTTGGCACTAAAACAATTTTTTTAGGAAAAATTACACTCAGATCTCATAAAGTTTGTTACTTAATCACTCATACCCATGACATTTAAAATATTATATACAGACTCCTAAAGTTTGTACACGCATAACACTTAGCCCCTGCCGTCAATGTCCATTAGTATATCCGTTAGTAAATTACATCCATATCTTTTGAAGTTTATAGGCATGTAATATTTATATCCCTCAAGTTTAAAATGTTATACTTAGATAAAAAAAAATACTCTAATCAAAGATAGAATATCAAATATTTTAAATTTTACAACCAAAATTCATGTTCTATTATGACATTTATTGAAATAAAATTAAAAATAAAAATTCACTTTTTAAGGGAAAGAGTTCTAATATAAGAAAACTCTAAAATTTAAGAATTTTAATATTCAAATTAATTGGTTTCTTTATCTGATTTTTTTTAATAGTGATGTGATGATGTTAGGAGTAATTCGGTCCTTCTACTCCAAAGCATATTTTTTGTCAAATATTTTTAAAGTTTGTATTTAAAGTCAAATAAGTGTACCGACTTTCAAAAAACCCAATGAGCAACTGTGGCCCAACCTTGGATATCTATATATTTTCGTTGGATTTGAATATTTAATGTACATATGTTTTAAATTAAGAATTAAAATGGGTGGATGTTACTTTGTCCGCTGAAAGTGTTTAAAAGTTTTAATTTATTCAAAATACACACATCCTTAATTTCTTTATCTGATAATAATTTTCTCTAAAAACAACACACCGTTTGTTTTTTTTCGTTTATTCACACAATAATCCCTAAAAATAAAAATAAAAATAAAAATAGACAACATATTGTTTTTGATTCGTATTGCTATCATTATTTAAAAAATTGAGGGATCACAGTATGAGACTTTTAATTTTTGAAGGGCTGAAAAACGAGAATTTTAAGATGTTTAAAACAAATTATCAGCTGTCCATATAATTGGAAAACTGAAATGTATGTTACAAGACGGCATAGAAAATGCCCAAGTTTGGACTTAAACTAGGTAAGCCTAGCGATATGGCTTGGTGGGCCCGCAAAGACTTTGTTACTAGCTACTGACCGTGGACCTGATAAAATGCAACACAACTCGATTACTCATTATAAATTGTCACGAAATTACCATATTTGAGATTGATTTTATCGGATTTGAATGATAAATAGGTGGACTAGTCAGATCTAATCTAAAATAAAAAAGTTGTGTTTGGATGGTGTATCTTAATCCTTTTATCAGTTGTTAACCTGCTTTAAAAATTGCATGTAAATATGATGTGATATGATGTATATATGATTTTTTTTGTTATTTTTAGCATAAAATTAAATTTATTAGTAAAAGTAATCACTAGAATTTGTACATAAATTATTATGATCAACGGGTTTAATAATGACGGGTTAGAAGGTTTTATGTGTGAACACGAATTGACCCAAAATGACTTGTTTATTTGACGGATGACATAGACCGTTTAATCCATTTAGTAAATGAGTGCGTTTAATTTTGTGATTTTTATCATATTAGTAAACGAATCGTCTATGAGTTGTGTACGTGAGTTTTAACATGAACACATTAAAACTAGCTTGAAAAAAAAAATTGCTTAACTCAACACGATTTTCATACTTAGTGATCGTAAACTTGAACCTAACCCGTTTCCATAGCCACACCTAAGAGTAGGAGTGTTGAAAGAGGATAGCACCTATTAATACGACACAAAATAAGAGAGTTTGAGTATTTCTTAAGCCATCCGTTTAGTAAATGAATGGACTCGACACGACACGATTAATAAACGAATTGACTATGAGTGAAATCAATCAGAATAAATATATGACACGACTCGTTTATATACCAATTATACATAGTTCATACACGACACGAATCGATGTGAAACCGTTCATTAGACACAAATTATAAACGAATCGTGTATGAATGGAATATTTTTTAACACGAACCCACTAAAACTCGACACGAGCCTACCTCACCCCGACTCGATGCATAGGCCTACCTAAGTGTCTAAGTTGTGTGAGTTAATTAAAGATTCAGTGCTGATATTATGATAACTAGATATTATTAGTGTGTATATGAGAGAGAGAGAGAGAGAGAGAGAGCTAGCACCTAGGTTTTATGGTAGCTTCTATCTCCCACTTCCTCAATCCCGCCTAAAACATACTGAAACCACCGATTCTGATCCACTGTTCACTTCAACTCGGGAGAACCAGATTAACCCCCATAACTGATTGGGTGATCTCTTCAATGAGATGAAGGAAATATTGGGTGTAACGGTTACTTAACGTCAGTATTGTTAATGGGGTGTAATTATTCAATAAAAAATAATAATAAAATAGATAAAATGAGATCACACTTCTTATAATGGAGTTGTTATGTATTACATTAGTAGGCGGTTATGAATTTTTGTGGGTTTACGTGCAGACTTGTTTACTTATTAGTAGATGGTTACAGCACGCAAGATTGGCCAAATGAAAAATGGGGATTTAGATTCCCTCTATTACCCATTTTCTTCAATTCCTATTAATGCAGTGTTAGATAAGTGACATGTGTAGAATTTGAATTTCAATGAACATAATTTTTTTTCATTCATTTTATTATTGTGGATTGTTAACCATTATTAAGGAATTTTCTCACAAAGAAAAAATCTTGTCAATTGAAATTCAGAATCTTACATATGTCATTCACCTATTATTGTATTAAAATGAATTAAAGGAAAGAGATAATGGAGGAGATCCAAATCCGAAAATTGGGACCTAAGCGAATATTTTAAAAAGGGCCAGATATTCTTTCAATTGCATTTTGTTTCACTTTTTTTGGGGCGCTATTTTCTCCTTCTTAATTAGGGCCCTAAGCGACTGTTTCAGTTGCTGTACTTTTGGGCCGACACCACATGACACTATAGACGTTGTATAACGATTACACCAAATATTTTTTTGAGATGAAGCCTGCCCAACTTAACCATTTACAATTTATTCGACATGCATGTATACAAGAGATAGCCCGTGTTGGTGTTTAATGGAGACAGAGATAATTGCATAGGACCAGGTGTTGTATATCTATTGACCAATTCTCTCTAACATGCTCCCAATAAGACGTGTTTTAAGTTTCATTGTAATATCTATTTTTTTTCAATATATTATTTTTAAAGTTTTTAATTTTTGTTTGTCATTTTTTTTAATAACATTTCGTCGGAATGCATTCTGTTTTTTCACTTTAGTAGCCCTTTGTATAGTTAGTACTATAACCCCGATCATATCTACTAATAAAATAAGATTAGGAATTAAAACCAGACACGAAACTTCAAGATGTTTAGTTAAAAACTCCACATATTAAATTTAAAAGGAAACAAGTTACGATATTTTATTGAATAAAAGGTTGCCCAATATTACTTGTACATGTTCAGAAAAGGAAAAAAAAAATGTTATAACTCGTGAAGATATTATACAAGTATGGTTTCTTGTTGAGCAAAGGGAGGATTGAAAGTGCATGGATCATGCTTAATCATTCCACATCACTACTAGAAGCTTGTTCTTAGACCTTGATTGAATGAATATCAGTTATTATTGGTTAAATGGTAAATAACCACCTGTGATGACTTGAACAATACCAGTTCAACTCGATCTCCTTTGACATTGTTGTATACTAGAATTAAAAAGAAATTGAAATTATGTAGCTTCTGGTTACTACATGTTTGGAGAGTGTTTGATGTATAGAGTCTTATCCTATACACAAAAATGTTGTTTCTATGAGTCAAAATTGCTACGTCCATTCATGCATGTCACAATGAGTAATATGAGTGGTTTGGTATATTGTTCTTATATTCACGGATGTATTGGAAACCCATAATTTTGTATATAGAACCCAACCCTAATTATACGATGAAAAATATATAAGACAAAAATGAATATGACACACGCCTATCATGACAGTGGAAATATGGTAAGATTTCTTTGGATTGTATCACATGTATATATCTAATCAACAATGATACATTGACTAAAAATTTTACAAAATTTTCTTCATGAAATAAAATATAAATCATTGAATCAAAAGGTCCCTTGAACTTTTTACTAATCATTCAGTAACTATCAATGTGTCACATCGTTTAGGATTTGAAATTTGATAAAAATTTTGGTGGATGCAACATTTCTTATTATCTAATACAAATTTCCTACCTAGAGCTGACAAATTGTGTCTTTAAACCTTACGATTTTAACATTCACAAGAAACAGACAAAACATAAACAATTAGATATCATCTTACTGTGTAGATTTGATTTTGTCATCGTCAAAATAAAAAAATTGCATGATGTTTGTTTACTTAGTGAGATTGCACGACATTACTATAAATGTGACCATTGGCTGATAAGAGAAAACAAACTGATACTTACTTAGATTCGTCAACTTAGGATCCTAGATGACCAAAGACTTACATGCTGCCAAGGCTAATACAACTCTTTGCGTGGTGCAATTGATGTAAGTCTTCATTCCGGAAACTGAAGTTTTTTAAATAAATTTTCAGTTTTTTTCTCTTCTTTTCTTCAGTTTTTGAATAATTTACCGTATTAAAAAAGACACTTGATCAGAAGATGTATACACACACATGAATGTAGACTTTCGTTCGACGGAAAAGTTGCTACATGATGGGGCTTAAAAAGTTTAAATTATGAAAACAATCTTTTTGTATATCGGATAAGGCTGTATATATATATATATATGATCTTTCCGAAATGTTGCAATAGCAGAAAATAAGTGCACTGGCCTGTGCTTTTTTATATATACCCATCTTGTTCGCCATCACCAAGCAATTTATCTCTTGTGTAGCACCTCTTTGTCTCGTTGTTTCATTTATTTTTTTCTGTCTTTTGTTATACATTTTTTGTCATAATTTTTGGTAAGATTAATCGGCTTTCTTCTAATCAACCAATGGGCTGTAGCTTCGGATTATCTTCATCAGAAGTACTCAATGTGTCATTTGCTCATGTTCTTGTTCATGCCAGCAAAGCGACAATAACTAGAGGTAGCTCGTGCAAGGCTTCCTCAGTTAAAAGAAGGGTTTAAGAGAAATGGACCGTGAGGTACTGGGTTTGGTTCTGGCATTGTTACTATGGGTGGCATGGGCCATACTGACGGAGCGTCGACACTGGCGGTTGGAAGAGCTAGGACGGATGCCGCCTGGGCCAACGCCGTGGCCAGTGGTTGGCAACATATTCCAACTGGGTTGGGCACCGCACAAATCCTTTGTAAAATTGGCTGGTATGCATGGCCCTATAATGACTCTTTGGCTAGGCTCGATGTGCACGGTGGTGGTCTCGTCAAGTGAGGTGGCGTGTGAGTTGTTCAAGAATCATGACGTGGTGCTCGCCGGGAGAAAGATCTATGAAGCCATGAAAGGAGATTATGGGAATGAAGGATCGCTCATCACGGCCCAATATGGGCCACACTGGCGTTTGCTGAGGCGGTTGAGCAACACAGAGTTCTTCGTTTCAAGCCGCCTTGATGCCATGGCCGCCGTACGCAGCAGGTGTATTGATCAAATGGTGCAGTTCATGGCAGAAGCTGGAAAGTCCGGCACCATCGCCATTGATGTTGGGAGATTCTTTTTCTTAATGGCTTTCAATCTAATTGGAAATCTAATGTTCTCTAAAGATCTGTTGGACCCAAATTCAAAGAAAGGAAAGAAGTTCTTCTACCATGCAGGAAAAGTGACGGAGTTGGCAGGGAAGCCTAACATGGCGGATTTCTTGCCCATGCTGAGATGGCTTGACCCGCAAGGAATAAGGAAGAAGATGAAGTTTCACGTAAATGAAGCCTTTGACATTGCCGGAGGGTTTATTAAAGAAAGAATGGAGAATATGGATAGTGATTATGGTGAAGACAAGAAGAAAGATTACTTAGATGTGCTCTTGGAGTATCGCGGGGATGGCGTGGAGGGACCCCAAAAGTTCTCTACAAGAACCATCAATAACATTGTCTTTGTGAGCCCCTTTCCCTCTCAGTTTTTCATATTTCATTTGTCTTTTTTATTTTATTTTCAAAAAATTACTCATTTTAAAACCAAATACAAAACACAGACACAGGAAGCAAATCTCAATAGAGACAACTTAATGTCAAGATAAAATTAAAGAAATATCTTTCACTAAAAAAACAAAGGGACAAGAAACATAAAATCCTTTTTTATATTGGAAATTTAAATAGATTGGGACAAACTTGATGAGTAAATATCCATAATAACATTAACATCATGCTATTGTCGCTACACGATTCCAATAAGAATAAAAAAAATAGATAAAGTAAATCTTACTTTTTTAAATAGAGTAGTTAGTGAATTACATAGAGGAGAACTTATTAATTTGTGTCAAATTCACTTATTTATTTATTTTATTTTAATTGAGTAGTGACATTATGTAACAGCGGTGACATTGTCTCACCCTTAGATTAAGTATTGTTTCGAACTCTGACCCACCTGAATCTTTGGGCTTATGCAATTGCAAATCATCCACTTGGGGCATGCGATTTTTTTTTCCCATATAGTAATATCATCTTTCCAATGCATGCACTATAGATTAACATAATTATATTGGCATATTCACAGGAGATGTTCACTGCGGGGACAGACACAACCACAAGCACGCTAGAGTGGGCAATGGCTGAACTCCTCCACAACCCAAAAACACTGAAAAGAGTCCAGGCCGAACTCAGAACCTCCATATCTCCTGGCAAAAACCTAGAAGAGAAAGACATCAGCAAACTCCCATACCTCACAGCAGTCATTAGGGAGACTCTGAGGCTACACCCACCTCTTCCTTTCTTAGTACCACACATGGCCATGGAGTCATGCAACATGTTAGGCTACCATATTCCAAAAGAAACACAGATCCTCGTCAATGTTTGGGCTATAGGGCGAGACCCCAAGACGTGGGAAGACCCTTTCGAGTTCAAGCCAGAGAGGTTCTTGCAGTCGAACATTGTGGATTACAAGGGACACCATTTTGAGTTCATACCATTTGGTTCCGGCAGGCGGATGTGTCCGGCGGTCCCACTTGCCTCTCGTGTGCTTCCGGTGGCTTTAGGGTCTGTGTTGCACTCCTTTGATTGGATCCTAGCCAGTGGGGTTTCACCGGCGGACATGGACATGAATGAACGGATGGGGATAACTCTTAGGAAAGCAGTCCCACTAAAGGCCATACCTATCCCACTAATGGCCATACCATTAGGTTCATAATTGTAAACAGAGCAATGCAAGTGTACTGTGTAAAACTGTTCATTTATATAACCTAAGGTGAAATTAAGTGTGAAAATCGAGACAGAAAATTGGTTTAGGTCTTTCCATCAATGAAGACAATACATTTTCCTTTAAAAGCGAGGTTCTCCAAAAACTAGATGCAACTTGATCAAGTCAATACGACTTGTACTTTGGAAATGTTAAATATTTTCTACAGAGACTTTCAGTGTTCAAATTAGATTTAAGCAAAAAAATTATAATATATTCAATGTGCATAGTGAGTAGATGTCTAGGGTTTTTGCAGCCCAACTCAAAATTTTCTCGATTATACGAATTTGGGTTCAAAATAATCCCCAATTGTGAATTGAGACACAAAGGCCGGTCCTCATATATGGAGTTATTTGAAAATAAGTCCCGTCAAGAAAATTTATTTAATTCTAAGTTCATTTTTTATCAATTTTACTATTGTAACCTTTCTTTGTAGGAATGTTATAAACGACGTTTATTGACACAATAACCAGCCATATACATCTCCTTCATAATTACCTTCAAATTCGGCTACAATTTTTCAAGTCACAATGTTTTATTATCCGAAAAATAAGAAATCAACATTTACCAAAAATCGTTCATAATCGAATGTCAAAACCATTACATTCTATAAAATACAATTTCAATTTACTATTCCAATTTACTTTGGACTCCATCGACAAAATATTAATATTGAATATTAATATTTAAAAAATAACAATAGTAACATACTTAACAAAGATAGTAACATGGTCACTAAAAAAATAGTAATATGCTCAAAAAAATGGTAATATAGTAAAAAAGTAATAACAATCTGGGATTTAGTTATGCCAAAGTGAGCATTAACCTTGTAATCAAAATTCAAGAGAACTCATCCATTAGTACGAAATTAAAGTGTTATAAATTTCGATTTTATTGATGTTTTTGTTGTGCAATACAATCGAGTATTTTGTGGTTGTGTTACTGTGAAAAAAGTTCATGTTACTGTATGTGAACCGAAAAATGAAGTTCAGAATTTTGATGTCTTAAATGTTTATAATTAGTGTTGAGTGTCGTAATTCAACTATGAATTATGTGTTACTACTCATCATTTTGTAAAATTTCAATTTGTGGATCGTATTTTCACTAAAATCATTCGAAAGTTGATGTTACTGTAAAAAAACTATTGTTTCGTATTTTGTAAAATTAGATGTGTTACCGAGTACAAAGTTTTGATATTACTGTAAATATTAAAATGTATGTCATATAATATACGTCTCAATATTTGTAATTGTATGTTAAAATTCACTATAATAACATTAGTGTCAGTATAGTAACACGTCTGTACTGGTAACACGATCTTAATTGTAATTCCAATCATATAGTAACATGAATGTTACTATATATTAACATTTGTGTTACTGAACTCTGTTGACATTATTCAACCTCCCTATATTATGCATTATTGTTGTTAAGGAAGTTTTGTGATTTAGTTTTGACTTAATAGACTAACAATTTATTCGTACATTAAACTTCTTATATATAACTATCATAATATATAATTTTCATATAAATTTCTGTTAATTATCATAATATTTAATAAAACGGGTTCCATATATATCTCGGTTTTCATATATAACACAATCAAGGGTTTCCATACATACTTTAATGATCTAATCTATGTGACTTTCTATAGCTGGATAAAACAAACATAGTTAGGGGTAATTTTGAGATATAAAAAATAAGTGGATTTAAGTATCCACATATAAGTTTAAATACAGACTTACCCCAAATAAATTTTCTTTCAAAACTCAAGTCATTATATATTTATTTAGGGGAACTCATCCTCAATTTTCACAAAAATTAGCACTTAGTATATTAGCCCATGAGCATGGGCCTGGACAAACAATTTTAAGGATAATCGAGTGTAGGTACACTTTTTTGGTATTATTTGGACATAAGTTCTCGGTCTTAATATATGAGCAAGTAAGTCTTTTAAATGGTACAAGATTTGTAAGTACACTTTTTAGTTTTAATTTTTTTTTAGTATTGTCTAATTATCTCTGCCTTGATCCATGTATAATTGATTGATAATTTCATTTTATCCAATATGAAAATATTTGAAAAGATTCTTTATATTGTTACTGTGGTATATTCAATTGTTTGAATTTAAAAAAATTAATCCCAATTTATTTGGCATTATCATTTGGAACCGAGAGTTGGTCTTCTTCAACATTACAGTTTTCTTCGAGAGAGCTTTAGATTTTTCACAATGATGAAGTTAATGATTTCAAAAAAATACGGAGTAGCGAAATTAATGAGATTGTTTCTTCAAAATTCAAAAAAATGAATCAATGTGAAATCCGTTTAGAGGTATATTTAGTGGTAGTTTGATAACACCACTTAAGGCTTAAAATTGAATACTTGAAGTACTTAGTAAATTAAGCTTGTTTGATAATTTAAAATTCATACAACTTAATATTTTAAGTAATTCTTAAAAATAGACTAAAATTTTAAGTAACAAGCCACCTATTTATCACTTAATGTTAAAAATGTTAGTAAGAACTTATCAATTTTTCATAATGGACAAATATACTTTTAATTCATTTTACACTCTTAAGAATTGTGTCATCGTCGCCACCACCAACACTACCATCACCGCCACACTTTCATATAATTATTGATGTTTTTGTTTATTTGATGGACAAAATAGTAAAATAAGTACTTATATTATACCCGTCTCTAACCATTTAAAGTTTTAAATGAGTTGGTAGTTTAAAAACCTGAATGCCTCGCCCATCCTTCACCATGTCGGCTTCATTTTCGATCCATTTCAATAAATCCTTGATACACTTTCGCCTAATGGGCACTGTTTCATTGATTCTTTTGTTTGTGAGCATCTCCACTGTGCAGATCCGCCGTAGGACACGCCAATATGAACCATACGGAGCCAGGGCAACCGACCCCAGGTAGTAGTCGTGTGAACGACTAGTCTCGATAATGGTGCGCTCGGCAAAGGAGAGATCATGGTTCTTGAACAACTCGGTTGCAGCTTTGGCAGTGAGAATCGCCATAGTGTTTGTGGAACCCAACTTCAACCAAATAACAGGGCCATATTGTTGTTTCAACCCAGCTAGGGTTCTGTGTGGCATAGTTCCAAGGCTGAACAAATGACCAAACACGGGCCATCCTGGTGGTTCGGGTGGTAAATGAGTGGAGTTAGACTGTCGTCGGTGGCGGAGGAAAACAAGTACGGGTGATAGAATTACAAAGGACCAAATAAGAAGGCTCCAATGCAACCCCATTCCGTTAAATTCTCAGGTTGCTATTCTTACTATCCATATATGCACAGATCTATATATATGGGAGCTAATCAGACATCGTAAACAATGTCTTCGATTTCTGAAGTCTTGGACACTACTATAAAAGAATATAAAACGACATGTGGGGAACATTATTGAACTTCCTTTTCGCTGGACAGCACTCCCACAAATGTCGGATCCATCTTCCTCGTTCCGTTCTTAAATATATGTCGTCTTACATAATTGTTCGATAATATCTGTCGTTTTATGAAATCAAAAGTATAATTAATATTTTTTCTTTCAAATTTTCTCTTAACTTTTTAATGCATTAGATTAGGTGGAGACTAAGTGTCTTTCATATTTCTTTTTTTCTCAATACGTATTGAATACAATTATTTTTTACTAATATTAGAGCTATTTAATAGTTTCTTTAATTCTTGTGCAAAAATCTTAAACGACAAATATTTAATAACAGAAAAAATATTATTCAAATGATTTGCTGCGATCAAGAAGATTATCAAGACACTACACACACACGAAAAAACACGAAGGTTCCTCAGTGTAGCCTCTCTCTCTCTCACACACACACAGAGTCAACCATTTGATGAAATTACTGCACAGATGGATAATTAAGGCAAGGATAGTTAATTTAAGCGGTAAAAGAAATCAATTATGAATTTAGATATTTTAAGTTTGAATATTGACAATCTTTTACCTAATGTTTGGTAAGATGGAAAGAAGAGTGAATGGAAAAAAGAGGAGAAAAGATGGAGGAGAATGAAAGGTTTTCACTCGTTTGGAATAAAATAAAAGCACAGTGAAATAGAAAATGGGAAGGAAGCTTAATTTACTCTGCTTGCCGTTTTCTTTCTTTCGGTTTTGGGTCTAGATTAAAGTTTAAGCTATATTACTATTATGCCCTTTTGTCCATTCTCATTGTGCACAGTATCTTATGCCTACTTTAATTTTGACGATGTCAGCCACTTGAATCTCACAACTCTTTATAAAATTTAAATATTATTTTTATTTTTGTATCTTCATCTTTTTTCAAGAAAATGCACCAATGTGTAAATTCATTTTATATTCTTAATTTTTATTAATACCATTTTGTCACTTTTTAATTAATAGTTACAACTCATTCAAAGCAAAATTAACTTAATAATTCGTAACAAAAATAAGGGGGATTAAAAGCTTTTTTCAAATTAATTGGATTGATTTATAATAAAAAAAATTCACTTAATATATTTAAGGGTAGAATTATAAATTAGGCATATATGTTTTTCCTTTCCTTTCATTTTTCATCCAATATCAAACGATGAAAAATATATTCCTTCTATTTCATCCCTCCACCAAACAAAAAAGAGGAAAAATAACTTTATTTCCTTAATGGATAAAAAATTTATTCCTTTTACTTTTCCTTCTTTTCTTCTTATCAAACGAATCATTAAGGTCATGTAATGAAAGATTTATTTTTCATAAATACCCTATTCCCGACATGGGCATGTATGGTCTGCCTTTTACCCAAGCAAATAATGAAATAATGAAGGTGCGCGTAAATTGATTTAAATACTTCTAATCAATGAAAAAAAAAAAAAAAAGATAATTAAGGCCAGCTCAAACTAACGTGCTATGTGCGCATACGATGACGTGTGCTGAAATTTTATATTTGTCGGCTTTCACGTCGAAGTTTCGTAACCATCCAAGTAATCAGGACTAACGGATGAATATAGGTGACAATGAATTGATATCTCTGCTAACATGTTTGTTTCGTAAGCTGCAAGATTCATAGGATTGGGGCAACATGAGTGTCCATAATATTATTCTAATGGTGAATTATGTAGAAGACTGAACAAATTGATGATCTCGATTCTCGAAGAAGGTGCTAGATATTCCTCAATATATTTTTTTTTCTTAATTTCTCATTTTTCTTCAATAAATCAGATTGATAACCAGCCCTATTTTTCTAAAAAACTCTTTTTCTTCCCTTTTTTTGTCTTTTACCCACCAGTTGGGAAGTAAGAGAATTATAGACAGTTATATGTGATAAAACGTTATTTTTATATTAAATTTATTTTTAACTAAATAGGTAGAAATTAGGTAAATTAAGGAAAGAGAAAGAGAAAGAGAAAGCTAGTCAAGTCTTTTCATGTAAAAAGAAATATATATATATCTTCCCGATTTTTTAACAAATGAATTTTTGCAAGGCTCTCATGAACAGGGGCAGAGCAATAACCGTGGCCGAGGCCGCGAAAGAAGACAATCTAGGGGCAGGACTCAAGATAGTGCTTATTATCCGCCGCTTAACGAATCCTCCTAAATTAGGATAAAAGAGAAGGGATAGAAATGAGAAGATATTATATAGCTAACGTCTACTTATGTCCTCGTAAAGGGCCTGTGTGATACATGAAATTTACAATCATCCCCAATTCTTTTACATTTTTCCACTCCATCACTTGAGATATAAGAGTTATAACAAATTGTAGAGTGTGTCAACAAATAATTATTTTTCAGAAACCTTTAAATAAGTGATAGTTAATTAATTGGATTGTTGTATGAGACATGTAATTGGACAAAAATCATCAAATAAATGAAATTTCTAAAGAAAAAAGAAACATTGAGGGAAGGTGTCCCACGTATGTCCTCTCTTCCCTAGATTGTGCCACAGCCAGAACTGAACAGTCTGATATTCGACTCCATCCGAGTGTACATTAGAGTGGTGTTCTATCCGCCAACTCCAACCAATAACATTGTTGAGCATGTTTTTCTTTGGTAACGGTGTAAATCATGTCTTCGTTTGGCTAAAACGCCACTGTACTAACCACACCATCAAACACACCATGGTGGCCTTCCCCTGGCATACCTTGTGTTGTTCATTTTCTAAGTCTAAGTGGGTTTCATCTAGTAAATATGTAAATCAGTTTAACACTTCAAATAAATGGGCAGATACTAACCCTATAAAAGACAAAAACAATAACTCTTTAAGTACGCCGTATACATAGAACATACTTGACTTGGCATATACTCGATTAATTATATAAGATCATATATGAGTTGAATAAAATTTAACACACTATGATTTAGACCCGATGACAATCCAACACGACAAAATCAGTTATTAGACTTGAATCTTAAATGTAAAGTAATGTTATTGAAACCTAAAAAATTAAAATAATTTATTGATACAATGATGTATCAAGTTATAGAGTCCTAATAAAGAAGTCTAAGAGTTACAGTCATAACAATACTATTACATCATGTCACTATCACATCATTAAGTTAACAAATTAAGTTTATTTTGATCATTTTTTATGTCATAATAGCATTACTCTTAAATGTATGCTTTCTACCCCTAGGTGTATATACCAAAAAGTAAAACACAGGTGGATCATATAATGGGAACATAAGGATTAGGGCGCAGGCTTATTTCGAGATTATTTGGGCCATTGGATAAAGTGGGTCAGTCAATTTAAGAGACTTGTAAGGTTTAAAGTTCGAAACTTAAACATATGTGTCATTAAATTTTAAATTAGTAATCTTATTTGGTAGTTAAGTTCATTCTAAGTTTTTTCTTTTTCTGTTTATTACTAAAACACTCTTTAATATATTGTTTTAACCTTAAAATGAGTTTTCAAATTGATTTGAAGATCAAAATTCCATAACTGATGACAATTTCTATATCTTCCCAATCTAAAATTTAAAAAATTTCGAACTGATCTCCTTCAATTCCTCTTCCTTTTAGTTTTTAGTTTTTAGGAAAGAAAATAAAGTTACCGAGCAATGTGGATTAAAACCCAATTCCGGCAACATGTTCAAGGACTTTCCCAATGGCAGCAATTCTCAAGTAAAATATCTTTTCTCTCTCTCTCTCTCTCTCTCTCTCTCTCCTCTCTCTCTCTAAATCAAGGGCTCTTTGGGAATAATCTTCTTCTGTTTTTTATGAGGCTTGTACTAAGAATGGAGGGTTATAGATGCTACCGATTACAAGAGCAAGCATCATACTTTTGCTAAAAGGACTGCAAGAGAATTTGGCAGCATGGTGTCTTGGTCTTCTGAGTCAAAAGCTTCAGAAACATACCTGATTTAACGTTTCATGTTATTGTTTAATGTTAGAGTTGGCATGTCGAGTTGTCTTTGTGTCGTATTATTTCGAGTTCATATCGAGTACTAATCAATCTTAATCTAACCCGTTTAATTAATCGTGTCGTATTGACCTATTTATTTTTGTGTCTTGTTCGCGGTGACTCATATAACCCGTAAATAAAAAAATTAGAACAATGCTACATAGACTTAAAAAGTAGACTTGATAATCTCAATTATTGATTTCACTATGAGATTATGAAGTTTAATTTTTAAGTCCAGCTAACATTACTCAAAAAATTAAAGCTCAATTTTGTATCTAAAATTTTATTATCACTCAATCGAACCATACTCATATTTTTTCTATAAACCAAAAATTAATTTAATAAATATAATAATAATAATGAATAAACAATATATTTTTATAAAAGAATTATTTCACTACTTGATAAACTATAATAAAAAAAATAGCATTTTATTCTTATAATACTACTTAAACGTGTTAATTGTGTCAATTTTCTGTTATTTATATTTGACACTAACACAACCTGATGATGCACAAAATTGGTCTCATGCCAACAGTTGAGTGTGTGATAGGGTATGATTAATAAGCAATCAATAGTAAAATAGTAAATATGGAGTCAACTCATAGATATATAATGGTTCGGTCAGGGTGACCTACTCTACTCTCAGGAAACGACAACGGTGGCCAGAGCTCTTTATTGATGAATAAAGTAACCGAGAGAGAATACTCCAGGAGAATTACAATAATT